AGGGTTGGTAGTGGGGGTGACAAGCACTGCACGGGCCCTGGGATATACAATGGTTTTTCATTGGGGGGAGCTGACATTGCATCCAGATACAGGTTGTCTGATAGTCGTGTGCCTGTTGATATGTCTGGAGTAGAATTTGAGCAAGTGGGCTGCACTGGTTATGTTTCAGGAGCGTATAATTTTGACATCCGGCCACTGCGTGTCATATATGAGGATTCTGGTATGCCCAGTGGCGATTTTTCAATGTATGGATGCTTTCATGCCTGCAGGACCCAAGGCTATGATTATTTTGGTTTTGAGTGTCCTCAAGCAAAAAGGGTCTATTGCAATTGCTACAGCAATTCCCGTGTTGAACCAGCAGTGCCTGAAATTGCAGACTGCTATGCCTTGGGGCCAGCTGATCATCATTATTGCGATGGAGACGGCACGAGGGATGGGTATTCCATGGGGGGGGCCTGGGTTGGGTCGATATACAGAGTGAAACCTACCTATGTTTTCCCTGCAACCACCACAGCGGAATTTGTCCACGGACTTGTTGTCAAGGGATCATCCGTGGACGGAATTACACCTTTCTCAACGGAGACTTCGTTGTCTTACAGCCTCATCGAGGACTATGAGGAAGAAGAGGGAATACTTCTCTGGGGAGACAGGGATTACAGATCCGAATCCCTCGCTGGGAACAACATGTACAACGGTGGAATATTTTTGCAGCCTAGCAAACACAAGGAAATTCAAATGGGCACAGTAATTTCGCTTTCTATTATGCCCAGTGGCAACGATCCTATTGTTCTCTGTGCTTGGTGCAACACTGACGGTTCAATGAGGGGTGGATGGCCTACTTCTCTGCTCGCGGATGGTTTTGTTGATGCGGGGGTATTCACATGGTATGGGTACCAAGGTTTAATCATATCGGGTCGGTGGTATTGCAAAGAATTGGGTCCGGCCGAGACCCCATAGCAAGCAAACCGGCGCCAACCCAAGCAAGCATTGGTTGTGTGCTTTGTTTTCCAATGCGGGATGCTGTGCGAGGATGCGAGTGCTTGCACGTCCCGATCCGTTTCCCAGCGGGCTGCGGTTTCCCACCAGCCCGCCAGCGCTGGCTTGGATGTTTTCGCCTCGATGCCGTGCGTTTCGTAATTGCCGCTGGTTAAAAAGTACGTACGTAGTAACAACCAATCCGTATCTTAGTTTTTGGCTATTTTATGTTTCTGCTACGTTGTGTCGTGTCGTGTCGTGTTGCGTTGCGTTGTGCTGTTGTACCATACCGCGTTGTGTCGTTTCTTCCGTTCGTCGTTGCGCCACGTTGCCGGGGCAACGGCCGTCCCCCGGACCGGACTCTTGGTTCGTCCCGCCACTCAGTCGTTGAAGTAGGGATTCTCGTTGTTCGGATCCTCGTAGTAAATGTCGTCGTCGTCGCTGTCCATGGCCGAGTGCTGGTGCAGCTGCTGCTGCTGCTGGTAGTAGTTCCCGGCGTATCCCTGCGGTTGCGGCTGCCTCCGGACGCCCGATCCGCTGGCCGACTGGCTGTAGTACGTCGAGGAACACCGGACGATGGCCTTCCCGACCCTTCCGATCCAGTCGTCCTTTTCCTGCTCCGTGTCGGCGTAGAGGAGGTAGGTGATCTCGGGGGTGGAGATCTCGAAGGAGTTCCGCTTCCGGCTCTTGAGGTCGGCCGACTTGACGGTGGTGCAGAGGGCCAGGTCGATCATCCCGTGGGGCGTCGAGTACTCGTTGGAGCAGTAAAAGAGCTTGCTTCCCTTGAGCAGAAAGAACCGGCGGCGCCAGTCCTGTGTTGCGTTGTGTTGTGTCCGTTGATTGTGTGGGTTGGTTCCGGTTTCGGTGCGATTGCCAATGGTTTGCATTTGATTGCAAGCGTTGCGTTGCCGACGAAAAGGACGGGAGAAAACGAAACGAGGCGGGTGAGAACAAGTGCAAGTGCTAGTGCAAGTGCAAGCGCGAAAACCGGTTTGGGATCGTTGGAAGCGGCTCATTTCGTATCGTATCGTGTCTCTTCGTATCGTATCGTATCTCTTTGTATCGTTTGACCCCACGCAAAGTCCATCGATCGGAACACCTTTCGCCGGGCTTGGTTTCGGACAAGAGACCACCATGCTATACAAGTACAAGTGCAAGTGCAAGTACTACAAAAACGCACCTTGAGCCACATGGACTGCTTCGTCAGGAATCCCTCGTATTCCGCGTTGTCCGTCTCGTAGATGATGTTCGTGTTCGGATCGACGTAAGGAGGCCGGGACATCTGGGACCGGGGCTGGGCCTGTTGCCGCCGCTGCTGCTGGGGTTGCTGCTGGATCTGCGGCCTCCTCGATTGCTGCTGCTGCTGTTGCTGCTGCTGCTGCTGCATCATCGGTTGCTGGTGGTGGATCGGTGGGGGGTTTGGGGTTGGGCTTGCGTGCATCTGCTGGTGCTGGAACTGCGGTTGCTGGTGCGGCATGGTCTGCTGCATGGGTTGCTGCATGGTCTGCTGCATGGGTTGCTGCTGCTGCCGAAACTGGCCCTGGCCGGGCATGGCCACGGGCTGCTGGTGCTGGAACTGCTGTGCCCCATACATCTGCTGTTGTTGTTGCTGTTGCTGCTGCTGCTGATGGGGAATCGAGTTCATGGTTGCGGGTGTTTTGGTTCTTTGTTGTCGGAACTCGCTCTGTTGCAAAACAAAAGGCCTCGGTGGGGGTGGCGAGTGTTCACGGAGGGATGCAATGCGTTTCGAATCCTTTCGCTGTTGGGTTTTGTTTTGCTACGAGTCGGTCGTATCGTACGTGACGAGTTTCGTGCTTGCAAGCCGTACCGTACCGTACCGGACCTACCGTTCTGGGGGTCTGTGTTCTGGACCGAATCAATCAACAAATGCGTTGGGAGTTGGGGAACGCTTTGGTTGAATCACTGCGCAATTTCTTCTGCTGCTTTGAGGTATGTACGGTATGTATATACAACGGCATGTAATGTACTTGTACCGGTACGAGTATGTAGTCGTAACTTAATCGTCCCCGCTAGCGTACGGTAGCGTAGGTAGGAAAAATCTTTCCGTCCGCTTCGGGGTCATTCCTTCCGATGCGGCCGGCAGCTGGCACGAAGCAAAAACGCGTCGCGTTTCATCATACGTACCTACTCATTGTACCTCTGTACCGTACGGTTGATCGTATCCATGATTGTGGATTGTGAGTGGACTACGAGACCAATTATTTCTATTTCCACCTTTGATTTAGCTTCGCATAGTAGTACCCCCCATTGCACCACAATGGACAGGACTATATCTTGCTACGAAGCTCATCTATGATATTTTACAAAAAATGATATGCCAACAATGCAAATACTAGTAATTTGGCATGAACCAACAAAAACACTGGTGCTGTGAGGAGGAGTGCCATAAATTGGTCAAAAATGGGACGAGTTAGTAGCTACTAGTAGTACTAGACCATTCAATTTAGCATCATATATTCCCATTGTCACCAATTGCTTGACAGGACTGTAACTTGCWACAAACACCCCATCTTTGATATTTTGGAAAAAAACTACTCAGACAGCATAAATGCAGTATCTGCCCAGGACCAGAAAAATTACTGGTGTGAGGGTCATAACTTGGTAAAAAATGGGAGTTAGATCATTATTGCTGTGAGCCTAAATCACAAGTAGATAGTGAATAAGATTACTCTTTATTGTAAACCACGTATTCACGTACACTAAGGAGCCTATCAATATTTCACAGGTTATGACGAGCAACAACAGACTTACCCCCTCTGCTCATCATCACACCTCTATGCCACAAAGTCACCTAGAGTAGCCTGATTTACTACTCCATAACCCCAGATCATAGAGCTCCCTCGACAGCATCCAGCACATACCTCCCATGGCACCAATATATCTTTCTTTTGAGACATCTCTTTTAGTAATGGAATGAGAGACTCCTCACTGGGACAACACCAGCAGTATTTGCTCAAAAACCAAATTATTGTGAGCACCATACTAACTTTGTCAAAATAGAGTGTTAGGTGACAAATGACTTTCAACATGTATTGTGGTGGTAGCTAGTAGCATATCAACCAATACAACAACAAGAGAGGTGTTATGACGTGATTGGTGCAAAAAGTAGCAGTTGCATCCTCATCACTTCGTACCAAGGGGATAAGTGCGCGGGACTTGATGATTGCGAGATGATGTTCGGTTGCTGGTAGCAGCATCAGATGGACAGAACACTAGTGCTGGTAGTGATTAAGGTGTATGCTGCAACGATTATCTCCCCCGTTCCGTAGTGGATGGGAAGAAAGCAAAAACCACGAACGAACGATGCAGGGAGTCTAGTAGCACGTTTCCACTCTCTGTCTCTGGCACAACATATACTATTGCATTGTGCTGCACCCTTCTATACGAAACGGAAACAGTTTTATTTCTGATTTTCTTAACTACTTATTGGTTGTTACTTTTGATTGATTCCCCACCATCGAGACGATTGACAAACTTTGTGATTGTGCTGCATCCATCTCCTACAGGACCATTCGTCGTAGGCATGCGTGCTATGAGACTTTTGTGCCAACCCATAAAATACATATAAATAGCATCACACAAACCTTCCGTGGCACCCATTCCTTGCACCACGGCCTTTCCATGGCGTCGGTTTCCTCGTTTTCTTCCCTCTCTATCACTGTCACTACTTTTACACAGAAAACGGTGCCGCACCGAGCCGACACCACAAGCGCGTGCGCACAGACCCACGCTGCCTGCCCCCCCCGGTGTCTCACCGCATCATCAGCGAGGGCAGGTTCTGGATGTGTTTCAGGGCTTCCTTCGTGTCCCGGTGGTCCGATCCCAGCGTCACCGCGTAGATCGACAGGGCGTTGCCGTATTCGACGCAGGCCCGCTTCAGGTCGCCGGTCCGCGCCAGGCACGAGCCGATCTTGCTGTAGATCTCGGCCGTGTCGGGGTGGTACTTGCCGATCGCGTCGATCTCCTCCACGATCAGCGCCTTCTTGTAGGCCTGGATGGCCAGGTCGAAGTCGCCCCCGTTCGATTCCATCAGCTCGTCGCCGTTGCGCTTGTGTTCCATGCTCGTCAGCAAACACGTCAGGTAGTCGCCGACCTGCTCGTCGGGGTATCCCTTGGCCTTGAGGACGTCGTCCACGCACGAGATGACGTCCTTGGTGTGGTTGTGGTTTTTCCCCAGCAGCGCCACGAGGATGCGGAGGGCGGACCGGTACTGGCCCAGAGAGTTGTCGTAGTCGCGCATTTCCCGCAGCGTGTGCCCCACGAAGCAGTAGGTTTTCCCCGTGTCGCGGTGGTCCTTGCCCAGGATGTTCTCGCGGATCTTCAGCGACTTGTGGAACTCCACAAGCGCCGCCTCGTTGTCGTGGATCTTGTAGAGCAGATCGAAGCCCCGGGAAAACTGGACCTCCGCGATCATCAGGGACACCTGGTCGATCGCCACCTGCTTGCCACACCGGGCCCACAGCTCCTTGAACAGGCCCTCTGCTAGGAACCCGATCTGCTCCCTCGACACCTCCGAGAGCACCCCATCGTTCCAGTACTCTTCCGGGCTGCCGGGCTGCAGATCGATCTTCTTGCGCGATGACCTCTTGTTGCGTTTCCTTTCCGAAACACTCGGGATGCTTCCTTCTGCTCTCGACATGGTCTTTGATTCGCTTATTCAAACAGGCTCCTTGTCCCTGCTGTTAATAAAAATTTGTTCCTCTCGTTCTCTTTGTTGATGTTTGCTCTAATGCAGCCGTGCTCAGTTATTTTTCCGTTGTTTCTATTTCCCTGTGGCAGGTATCTCTCCCATTCCCATTCACTCCTGCGTTGCGCAAGTCCTCTTCAAGAGGCTTGTTTGGTTGCTTGTCTGTGTGCTTCGTTTGATCTTGTCTCTGTCGAGACTCGCCTGCGTATCGCACGATAGAGCTGGAACGTTGCAATGCGATAGATGTTTCTGTTGTCTGCTGGTCGACTTCCGAGTCTTCGTCGGGCCAATATGCGTCGACTCATAGTCGGACGAGGTATTTAGGAGGCAGGTCGCCGATTTTCTTCACAAAAAAGTTGGGGAACCCAAATTTTCGACAAACAATTCAGTCACGAACATCGGGAAGTATGTCGATTTCGTTTTTTTAGAAAAATGAATTCCCGAATCCTCTTTTTCAACAATGTGATCAGAAAATCTCTGAATTTCATCATCACAAATTTTTGTGATCGAATTTGATTGACCGGATCTCTGCTCACCAATATTAGACAGGATCACATTGTTTTGTTCACTTGTACCTCCGCAGATCTAATTTTCAAATTTCAAAAGAGTAGATCTGAACAAATATCATCGCTGCTAATGCTGCATCGATAGAATGCCATCGCTGCGCATATAGCTTTCTAGTTAGGGAAAACCTAGCGATGATTCGCACATTGTATTGATACACTTCATATGCTCCTGGGAATTTTGTTATATAAACTCCTCTTTATTTACTCGTGGCGTTGCTACGTTTTTGCATTCAATAGGGCTCTATTTGTTTGTGTCGGTCTATGTAAGAAACGTAATTTGATTGTCCAATTTATCGTTTGTGCCATTCTAGGTGTTCGCTACATATTGAACACAATACGGACGGCATGGCAACTCCTCGTGTTAGATTAGAGCAGTACATATATGCATCATATATTATAAACTCGGTTAAACCTCAAAGGCAGTTCGATCAACTGAACGTATCAGAACATCAAACGTTGACTACTTTTTATTACCCCACCCAAACCAGCCTCCGCCCCCTTGCTTCTTTTTCTTATCCGGATTGTCGAGCATGAGAGCATCGTCGTCCCCGATGCCGTAATCGAGGAGCGATTTATCGTCTACGCTTAGTTCGATTCCGCCCTCGAGGAGTGTTTGGTGCTCTTTTGCAACGGATTTAAGCGTGACGAGTCGCTCTTTGACTTCGTCGATGGTTGTGTTGCCACAGACGTCATCAATCACGACCATATCTCCCGACCAGCAAATAATGTTGATTTTGATCTTTTTTTCGGCTTCCGCCTTGGCCTTGGCAGCTGCCTCTTCCTTCGCCCAGGCCAAGGCTTCCTTCTTGGCCCTTTCAAACTTCTCTTCCTTAGCTTTGGCTTCGGCTTCCGCCTTGGCAGCTGCCTCTTCCTTGGCTCTTGCTTCGGCTTCATCCTTGGCCTTTGCAACTGCCTCTTCCTTGGCTCTTGCTTCGGCTTCATCCTTGGCCTTTGCAGCTTCCTCTTCCTTAGTTTTTGCTTCGGCTTCGGCTTCATCCTTGGCCTTCGCAGCTTCCTCTTCCTTAGTTTTTGCTTCGGCTTCGGCTTCATCCTTGGCCTTGGCAGCTTCCTCTTCCTTAGTTTTTGCTTCGGCTTCCGCTCTGGCATCTGCCTGCTCCTTTGCTTTGGCTTCCGCCTCGGCCTTAGCAGCTGCCTCTTCCGCGGATTTGGCAATGGCTTCCGCCTTGGCCCTGGCAGCTCCCTCTTTCTTTGCTTTGGCTATGGCTTCCGCCTTGGCCCTGGCAAATTCCTCTTCCTTGGCTTTTGCTTCCGCTTCTGCCTTGGCCTTGGCGGCTGCCATTTCCTTTGCCTTGGCCAAGGCTTCTGCCTTGGCCCTTGCAAACCTCTCTTCCTTTTCTCTGGCTTCGGCTTCCTCCTTGGTCTCTGGAGTCGCTTCCAGTTCCGAGACGGAAGGCATTTGCAGCAATGTCTGTGATTCCGGCGACGAGAGATACGACGAAATCATCCTTGACGATTCGCGCAATAGTGCTGACGGCGAGGATGCAGGGGAAAGCCACGACGAAATCCTCCTTCCGGATCCTTCTAGACTAGATCTGCCGTCGCCTCCCGCCTTGGAGGCTGTCTCTCCCTTTTCACCTACTTGCGACTCTAGCTCCTTGTTTTGTTCCAAAGCCTTTTGTAGGTCCCTTCGGAGTTTCAAACATTCTTGTTGGTGTCCTTCTGATTCTTGCCTGGCGTCTTCGCGTTCTTTCTCTAGCTTTTTGAGGTTTCCGTGCAGTTCCTCTTTCTCCCGTTGTAGCTCTGACAGCTCAGCGGTGATTGCATTGGATTGGGCAGCCGAGTCCTTCTTCTCGCCTTCTATTTGTAATGCGAGCTCCTCGTTTTGCTTCAGTGCCTTTTGAAGGTCCTCCCGAAGCTTCGAGCTTTCTTGACTGCGTTCGCTTGATTTCTGCGTTGCGTCTTCGTGTCGTCCCTCCAGTTTCTCGTATTTTTCCATCAGTTCGTCTTTCTCCTTTTTCAGCTTCGACAGAGCGGCGAGGTGCTTCTCTTCGGTTTCTCCCGACCCTCCCTTCTCTACCTGTGACGCCAGCAACTTGTTTTCCTTCGCGCTCTCGACGAGCTTTCGTTCCAGCACCGATATTTTGCGGAGCCGAGTCATGGCACGCTCCTTTGTGTCCTTGATCTTGGCCTCTAGTTTGCTCGTCTCTTCTGCTTGATCGGCCTTGAGGGTTTCGTTGGCTTTCTTCAATTCTTCGTTTTCCGCTGCAAGTTCCTTGATTTTCTGGTCTTGTTCGGCGTTGTCTGTCGTTCCACCAGCGGATTCCAGTTCCTCGGACAGCTCTTTTTGTCTTTGTTCCGATGCCTCGAATTTTTCCTTCCAGGATAGGGCCTCGTCTGTCCTTTCTTGGAACTCTTCCTGCAGTGCTTCCATCTCGTTGTCTTTGGTTTCGATGCTGTGTTCCAATTCATCGCGCTTGGCGTTACCATCGTCGAGCTCCGTTTGGAGTTCTTCGTTCTGCTTCGTGAGTTGTTCCAACCGAGAGTTTGCAGCCTCGAATTTTTCTTCCAGCTCCTTCAGCGCCTCCTGGCTACTCGATGCATCGTCGACGGATTTCTTTGATTGGATCTCCGAAAGCTCGTTTTGCAATCGTTTGTTCTCGGAAAGCACGTTTTGCAATCGTTCGTTCTCTTTGGTGAGAGATTCTAGCTTCCCCGCCAAGTCTTCGTGATTTGTTTTGCTGACGGAGAGTTCGTTCTGCAATCGCTCTTGCTGCTCCCTGAGGGATTCTGCTTCGGTTGCCGCATCCTCGTGCTTGGAGACGCCTTCGGCCACCTTCTTCTCCAGTTCTTCGTTTTGCTCCTTGAGGGATTCGGCGCTGCGCTCGGAAGCATCGAGCTTTTCTTGCAGCTCCGAAACCGCAGCGGCGATGGCTTCTTCCAGTCGATCCCCTTTTTCGGATGCGCCGTCGGCTGCCTGTTTCTGAAGCTGTTCGTTCTCCTCCGTGAGAGATTTGACCTTTGCCTGGGCGGCATCGCAGGTTTCTTGCAGCTCCGAGAGCTCCTTTTCGATTCGATCCTTGGAGTCCATGGCATTCTTTGCCTGTTCTTCGGCCTTGCGCAGAGAGTCCGTCAATTCCTGTCCCGCGTCTTTTTGGTCTTGGGATTGGCTTGCCTCGAGCCGCAATCCTTCCGTTTTCTCTTCGAGCAATCGTATCTTCTCCTCCGCCTTGCAGCAGCGTTCTTCTGCTTCCGAAGCGGCCTCCTCGGCCTTGGATCTCGACGCCTCCCATTCCGTTCTCAGGGCCTCGTGGTCCTGTTTCAGGGCGGCGAGCTCGGCGTCCTTGGCCGAGATGGTTTCTTCCATGGATGCCTCGGCGCTGCGTTCGGCGCTGGCCCGCTCGGTCTCCCATTCCGCTCGGGCTTCCTCGAACCTGCGGTTCAGTTCCTCCAGTTCCGCCTCGCTCTTGTCGGCACGCTCCGATGCCTCTTTCGCCTTGTTCCGACCCTCTAGCAATTCGCTCTGGGCCGTTTCGAAGCGTTCCTTCCAGACCGGGTCTTCTTTGTCGGTCTGGGCGTCGGCACCACTGGCGGACGCCCGAGAGGCAGCAAGGTCGTTGTGCTTCTGTTTCCACAGCAGGGCTTCTTCTTTCGCTTGCGCCAGGAGGCTGGTCTTGGACTGCAGCTCGGTGAGCAGTTGATCCCGCTCCAGCACGGTCTTTTGCGAGAGTTGCTCCTTCGATTGGCGGACCCGGTGGTGCAGCTTCAGCAGGCTGTCCATTTTTATTTTCGACTGGCGGACCTTCTCGTGCAGGGACTGCAGGTTCTCCATTCCCTCCACGTAGCTCACTCGCGCTGGAACCGTCTTTTTCTTGGACACCTGCAAATCCGGTGCCGGCAGTGTCTTTGGCTTGGGCGGCGGGAGTTCTTGATCTCCTGGGTGCAGAGGTTCCTTTTCGTTTGTCGCGACAAGCGAGGGGTTGTCCGCCTCGTCCATGCTCACCGTGCTGTTGCTGGACGAAAGCACGGGATGGGTTTCCTCCGTGCTGTCCGAGTCGTTGCTTCCCTCCGTGCTAAGGGAACTGTCGGAGCTCACGGAACTCTCTGAGCTCACGGAACTGCTGCTGTCCGAAAGGGCGTCGTTGTCGTCGATTGACTTCATCAAAATGCCTGCGCTCGGGTTGCCATCGAAGGCGTTGCTGCTCGGCAGGGGCGCCAAAGGTGTTGGATCTTCCATGGCGATTCGAGGGGTGGTCGAGTGGTAATGATGGCAACGGAATGGATTCTGCTCTCAAAATGAATTTTTATTGTGTCTTACAGAAAGGTGCGGCATTGACACTCCTGTGTGGTTTCTTGCATGGGAAGCGAAAGATGATGTTGTTCCTTTTGCTCACCCTTGGAATTTCTGTTCTTCGGTTGGCTTACTTGACGAAAGAAATCTTCTGTGGGGCGTTCTCGAATCAAATGGATGAACACAAATTGATCGCAAAGGGTGACAGTGACAATCCGCTTGATTTTTGGCGGATCGTTGATGTATCGTTACGTATGGTACTGTACTGTACTATTTTAGCACGGCCCTCTGGATTTCTGTTCTTTGGTGGGAATTCTCTTCATGAAATATATATGGATTTTCTGCAGGGAAGTAAGGTGTGTTGGGCCACTCACTCGTGTTGACAAGATTTTTATCACGTAGCACTACGACTAGTGCACGCGCTGACAGCAGAAGAAATAAAAGAACCCAATCCGCTACGGGATTTTCGTTGTTGATCCAGGTTCGTAATGACAATTTTTTGGCGCTTGGGTTAATACCGATTGATACCGTAGTTTTCGAATTCCCTCAACTCATGTGGCACTTCGAAAATATCAATCACTTCGAAAATAATATCGATGTCTTGTTGTGCGAACTCATCTGATGCAACTTCTTGTACCATTGATCGACGAACTCGAAGGCATGGGTGAAAGCTTGAAATGCTGGCGTGTGACCGTTAGCATTAGTAAACCCACCGTTGACAAGATTGCATATGCGCAATATTTTCTTCGATGACCTTCAACCTGTCAACTATGCAAGTAGTAGTATACGTCACCTATCTAGAATCGAACTTCTTTTTCCCTTTAAGCTCTTCAAAGTGTTAATCAAATATTTCGCTTTTTTTAGTTAAAGAAACTATTGGGCATTCTGCATAACATTTAAGAAGACTATTGCCAGTTCCTTATAGGCAAAATCAAATCACTTATGAGACCTGGCTTAGACGTTGAAGATTATTTCTTGACCCAGAGGAAAATCAACCCGAGACATATCATACCTACAATAGGTATGAACATAATCTCAATCTTTACTCAAGAACTCAGTGATTTCGAATTTCATTCTTCAAAAAAACGTCCACCGTCCACCGTCCTCCCATCCATCCAATCTTTTTGTACGTACAGTACCCAGCGATCGCGCATCATTCCTGTCACAGAAAACAGCAAAATCGACGAACGAAAGTAATCGACTCCTCTATCATCCCTGGCGATATCATAGTTTTTCAAAGCAACAAGAACCGAACGTGCAACAATGATATTGCGGTAGAGCACAAACAACGCGCAGTGTCGAGAATTCGTTCCTTCTTCTGAATAAACTATGGCATGGGATTGCCGGAACTAACCGATCCCCGGCAGCGAAACGGAATCCACACATAGCGACATGCAACGGGGACTAGATAAAGACATGACGGGTGACTGGGAATATTTTTCGCAGGAGTTGTTTACGGCTAGATAACGACCGGACCTGTCCTCCGAACCGGTTCGGTCCGATACTAAGGTGCGTGGCGTCAGCGAACTTATTGGGCTCTTGCCTTATTCTGTCTTGCCGTGCCGTGCCTTGTTGTGTTGTGTTTTGTTGTGTTGCGTTGGTTTGTTTTCGCCTTTGTCTTTGTCTTTGTCTTTGTTGTTTGTTCTTTATGCACCCTGTATCTCCGGGCTCCGCTGTTACTCCTCCGTGCGGCATTCGGTCATAAAGGTAGCTGCTATAAAAATGTATTTCTTAGAAGATCTTTATAGTTGGACGAGCGTGTCTTTCTTCCCGTGGCAGCTTGTCCTGGTAGGTCTCTCACAATCTTGCTTGCTTGCTTGTGGATGGTTTGCCGAATCGTAGGAATGGGACACAACCATGGGACGAAACCATGGGAAACAACGCAACAGCACCGATCGATGCACCGGATCGAGGCCGTGCCATTCGAATGGCCGGAAAGGAAGGGACCGACGGCGAACCTACCGATCCGCATCCGCCGGTCAAGCCGAGCAGACGGTTTTGGAAGACGGATTCCTCCTGCGATGCATTCCCTTTGCCTGGCTGCGCAACAGGATCGTCTGCGCACCGATGCTGGAGGAAAGCGCTGTGCCGATTGCAATTGGAACCATCGATCGAACCATCGATCCCCGTTTTCTTTCTTGATTGAACGCACGGGGTCTTTTTCCCTTTGGTCAGCGGTCTGTTCCGTGCGGGGGAGTGGCGCACGGCACGTGCGTTGGGATTGTTTCTCCATTTCGTCATACCCATTGAATAAAACTAGATACTCTTTTTAGGAAAAGACGAAGCTTTTCATGCTTTTGTAAGATGTAGCGTGCTTCCGCAGAGCGAATTCAATCGTTGTGAGCAAATCCCCTGGTTTCAAATACGTGTTGTGAATGCTACTATTGAAACGAAGGAAGGTTGGATTGAATAGTTTGAATTTAGTTTTATTTTATTTTCATTTTATTATTTCCATAACGATATTTTGTGCTTGGATCTCTTCCTCGCCCCCCATTTCCAAAAACTATCGTTTCGATGTCGTCGGAGGAAACACGATCGCCATGGGCTCCGATGTTTTGCAGCAATTTCTCGATTTGTTCGACGGCAACAGTCCTTTGAAAGCCAATTGGCAGTGTCGATGTTTCCGATGGCTGTTGCCGTGCTGGCATTTGACCCATGGCGTTGGATATTTCTTTTTTGAACCGTGGGGGTATCGTTTGGGCGTAATTGTTCTTGCGGTACTCTTCGAATACTTCCCGGAATCGATTCACCGATTGCTGTCCGTGTGTCGAAAGATACCTGCAATCGGGACGATACGATGAAGTATCCATCATAGAATCATTATTAATATTATTGTTGTTATTTGAGATGTTCTCCTTCAGACCCCGGAAACAAGCTCCGCCAACTTTGCGGCGGAGGGGTGTTGATTTCATTGAAGTCATAAAAATTGTTGACATAGTATTGGATTGTTGTTTGTTCTATTGCTGGGTTGATTTCGAAATTGTTTGCTTTTGGGAAAACGTGAAATTTATTTTGTGAGAGTGAACACTAGGAGAGTTTAGAATGTGAGACAGAAGCCGGAGAAGAAAACGAGTCGTGCACACCATGAATTATTCCAGAAAAAATGCTTTTACTATGCTTATGCATCAATATGCATCAAGTCATGGCGTTTTCTCAATCGTGCATACTGTTATGTTTTACAGCGGTAGGTACGGTACAGGAGGAGTCAAAATGCAAAATGTAGTACTACGTATGGTTGGACAGACCTCGCATTCGTCGCTCACCCATCATCAAGAATCAAGCATCACTGCACATCGAGGAGATGCGCTCTCGCATTAAATTGACGAGGTGATATCAATCATAAAATTGATGCACCGACACAAAAGGGTTGGCTGTGCTTCGCCGCTACGCAATATTCGAAGACCTACGAATTTCAACCTTCGAATACCAATCGGTTTGGCCATGGCTGTTGTTGACGTTGGCGAGTGATATGGTACGTTGCTTACTTTCTTCTTCTTTGCTTCTGATTGGATTCGACGAGGCATTTCGATTCGACCTTGTTTACTGTAAGGACGATAAAAATTCACCACATCACTACCGAGGGTTACCACGTATCCAGGTTTTCTCAATGAGTGACAAACTTATCTGAACAAACAAACGAGGAAATGTTTATCACTGGAATGCGTTAGTATTTCGCTGCGTAGATTTTTCTTCTGATATCTCAAAGCCGACCCTTTTTCTTCCACGTATTTCCTTTCAGGAGAGGAGTGGAGATTGGTATCCATTCAAGTTTTTCAAGGTGTTGGTGGATTTACCTGACTTGTTCAATGAATGAGTCTTGTGTATCGAAATAATGTACGTGTCCCATCTCATTGATGTTGCTCTGAAGCGTAATGCGTGCACGTATCGAAGCCGGCTAGAACTTTTTCTATAGTTCTTGCTCGGTCAAATATCGTGCTAGATGAGTTCAAAAATGAAACCTTGGGTTGGGTGTGACGTTCGAATCGAAATGCACTACGGGAGCGGCCTCAATATCCTAAAGTACACTTTTACGCAATACATCACTTGTGAATCTGTCTCACTTTGTATTGTATTTCCCTCTCATGTTGGTCGATGAAAAAGGAATGGAAAGCTCTCCATTTTGTTTCTTCTTCAAATTGCATTGTTTTCCAGTTCCGTTCTACCGGCAAATTCTCCTCATTATTTGTCTTGGCCTTCAGGATTTCTCTCTCTGACCGCATCCGATCAAGCCTTCAACATTACAACTCAGCGATTGTGCTACGATATTTCATTAGCTATTATCCTGTTGATTTGGCTGCTGGTGAGTACCATCTTGTTTTGTGCAATGATCGTTGGCGATGACGAGGAAAGCAGAGATAGCTGTTCGGCTGCTAGAGGTAGCTCGCTTCGTGTGTCGTACGGTTCTAAAATGGAGCCGGGCGGTGCTCCGACGCTTGCAAAATTCCTCCATTGTGCAGTCGACTCTTCTATCGAGATGCAAGAGCAATTATAAGAAAGGAAAATCAGTAGTCCTTTCCGGGCTAAATTCACTGCCAGACGACGATTCAAAAGGATGCGACAGTAACCCAGAGCTCTAACAACTATTTTTATGCTTTTTTCGAACCCCAGGCATTTTCGGTTTTGAGGACGGATAGAAGTTGGGACTTCAAGTGATGGTCGACGAAGGAAAACACGATAGATGCACAAAAACATCCGTTGAAGGAGTTTATGGCTGTGACTGCTTTGTTGTTCAAGAACTGCTCTTCTCTGAGCTACAAACATCCCATTACGTTTTGTGTGCATGATCCTGCCTGGTGGTGGGTGCAGGCTTCAAACCTGTAGACGGCTAGCGCCGTAGTTGTTCGATTCAACCTTGCGCACGATGGCATCACTTTATCAGACCCAAAGATGGAAACGGGACGGACGTCTCTCACAGGGGATGCATGCATTGTTTTTGGCGTCCACCCTAGACACACAAGGGTGCTATTCTATAAAACCGTCGGAAAGATCTGCGATTGGCACTGAGCGTCGACTACAATTCGTTCCCCGCACTCCACTCGTCGTCTCGACAGCGAGTTCCGATATTCCTTTATCCTAGGCAACTGCTATTTTATTATGTCTATAGTTTAAGAAAACTGCCTCAGTCAATCCCTTTGTTCCGTTGAAAGTGGTTTGGTGTGTTGTGTTTTAAGGACCGGTGTTACGATGCAAACCACAGACGAGCTCCGCCCCGAATAATATTTGTGAATGGTTAGCTCAATCGGACCTTAGATGGAGCAGATAGCACTATCGATCGTTACGGTCTGGTGCGGTGTGATGAGTGGGTTGTTTTTCCCTTGTGTCATTGGAGTATCCTATTGGCAAGATCAGACCATGCCGTTCCTTCCAAATTTCCCGGCGAATGGCAGTTTAGAAAGTCCACGAAAGGAAAACAATTCCGCATCGTAATCTTCAGGTACCTTTCGGATTGGCTTTGCTGTTGTGAGTGGTTGGACGAAGGAAGGAGCAATCAGAAACGGAGGTATCTTGCCGCGACGTTGTTGCGGCTGCGTTACGTCAGCAGGTCCAGCAGTTTTTCGTCGTGACCGTGGTTTCCTTTGATAGCGTTGCTGCTGTTCACCTCGGTTTCGTCGTCTTCCTCGTTACTCGGTAGCGAGGGACGGATCTTTCCGTTTCTTTGTTCCGGCATATCGGGGAGGTCGTCCCCACTCCTGGAGGTGGAAAGTGTAATGTTGATGTTGAAGTCCCCTTTAGATGTCTCTATTGTGGATTCGCTGCCGTGGTCCTTGCTGCCGCTGCTGCCACCATTGGCAGAGGCACCACCCCCAGTGGATGCATCGCTCTCGCCGCTGGGCACGGCATCGTTCTTGTCCCCGTTGGCTTTGCTGTTGCTGTGTTTCTTGTTGTTTCGATTTCCCCAGCCGCGCAGGAATGCGAGGGGCCCGTTTGGTTTTTCTTGGTGGTGGCCGTCGTCGTTCTCCTGCTCCTTCCGCTCCACGACGTCCTTCAGAAAGTCCGACTGCTTGAGCGAGTCCGTCGTCGCCGAGTAGTGCTTCCTCGTTCGCTTGAGCTTTTCCTCCTCCAGCTCCTGCTCCTGCCGGTCCATGTCCTTTTTCCAGAAGATGAACTTGGTCTCGATCTCGGCCTTGGCGGCCGCCACCTGGGCCTCCTCCCGGGCGGTTTCCTCTAGGAGTTTCGGGAAGGCGGCCAGCTTTGCCTCGAGGTCCGCCAGGACGGTGGCCTGGCTCAGGGTTTGTTCCCTCAGAACCATGTTCTCCTCGGTGAGGCACTGGTGGTCGGTTTCCAGGACCTGGATCCGGTTCTCGAGGTCCTGGATGAGGGCCAGGGCGTTCTCGAACTGCTTCAGCGGCACGACGTCGGCGGCTAGTCCTGCCGGTGGTGGCTCCTTGCTCGCTGCCGTTTCGGTGGTTGCGTTGGAACTCTCCGCGCCAGGGGCACCGGCATCGTCGTCCTTGCTCTCCCCCCCTTGTGGTTGGTCCCCGCCGTCGATTGCGTAAATGTCTTGGTCCATGCTCTTGCCGTCGTTGTTGTCGCCKGATCCCTTGCTGCCTGCCATGAAATCGTCGAAATTGATTTCCTCTTCGTCGTCAATATCGCCCCCGACTCCACCGTAGTTGTTGTTCCCCGAGTCGATTCTTATCTCCTTGCCGTCCATATTCATGTTGCCGTTGGTGGGTTCACTCTCGTAGTCGTTTTCGTAGTCATTTTCCCCCGACATCAGCAGACCCATGGCTTCCCCCATGACGTCGATGGAACGCATCGAAGCCGTGTCGGTCTCCGAAAAGAAGGCGCTCCCGTGGTTCGAGTTGGAGTTCGAGTTGTTGTCATCGCCGCTTTCTGCCAGAGCCGCGTTCATTGCCGCCATCAGGTCCCCCTCTATCGAGCCGTCGACGAGCAGATCATCGTTGACGCTCATTTTTACTGTGTTTTCTGATCTGTCGAAGTACGGTGCAAAATAGAGTGCGTAGAGCAGAGTATTTATTTGAATTGTTCGTTATTTCCTAACCTTCTTCGTTGGTTTGGGTTGTTTTCTTTTGCTACTGTGACAATTGCCCTATGGAGCTTCTAGTGGTTACGCGTGATACGAAAGACAGTCCTAGTCCGAGCACTAGTGAACGTGTATTCTCTCGAATGTATTGTAGAGTGAAGCTGGCAGCTCCGTCTCACCCGTGCTATCTTTCACCAACAATGTTTCACAAAACGTGCAAGCTGTCAAAGTCGAACGTCGATTTGGATTTTGAAATGGTCTACGGTTCGTACCAGTATTGAGTTAGTGTTCTTGCATCACCGGTCATCGTTCTTTCTACGAATACGATACTAATCGTAGCCGTACCGTGAGGATTAGTGCTCTTACGTGTAAGAGTTTCGTACTGACAAAGGAGACCAAACAGTACGAGTACTACCGTACGGTAGAGGTACGGAAAAAGTGAAATAAAGTACTTTACGTCGATGCTTGCATGCCTTCGGAACCGTAGATAGATACCGTACAATCTACTGTAGCGTACAGGTTAGCTCGTACGGGTCATTATCTACTACTACTACTAATACCACTACTACTACGTAGTACGAGCTGTGAAGAGGCAGCCAGCCAGCGGAGCGCAATGCTTAGAATAAATACACGAAATAGTGAGAATAAAAAAATGAGAAGAATTTAAAAAAAAATGACCCCTGATCACAAGGATTGCCATCGAGTCGATGCTGTCGAGTCCGAAGCCATCAATCAATCGTGCCAGGAATTTGAATTTTCTGAACCACGATGCCTGCCCCGTTGACAAGTACGAGTACTGTACGTATTTTTGGTACTGCTCGTACTTTGTTCCATTCAGGACTACTACTGCTGTAAGTTGTACTTCTTCGTACATCATTTTTTACTACTAGATCTCAGAATACTCTAAAATCCGAAAATCTGCGCAGTACATCGAAGTCGTTTTGAGGCGAAATCACTCAAAGAGCATCACCAAAACAATTTTTCTCAGGCATACCAACAATAAACCATCAAAATCATTGCAGTCGTCTTCCCGAAGCCACGACCTGAAAATTCCACCGTTCTTTCGAATTCATCGCCGTGTAGTTTGGTTTCAAATACACAATGAATTCTTCTGGCAACAACAACGGGTATGGAAGGGGAGGAGACGGACATGCAGAATCTACGACCGGAACGAAGGAGCAGCAGCAACCCGTCGTGTCATTGCTGGAAAAGTATTCCAGCCTTCATCGAGGAATCGATGAAGCTCGAAAGGAATACGCCGAAAAGCAGATGGAAATCGAATCCATCGAGGGGAAAATCCATCGGCTGGTAAGCGTTGATGGTCCTGAAACCGAAGCGGCCACGGAAAAGGCCATCCAAGAACGGGACGATCTCCTGCGAACACTCGAGGAACTTACGACGAAGGATCTCGTGGATGCCCAAGATCGAGAATTCCGGGCCCAAACGAAGCTCGCCCTCGCTCGGTCCAAGGAAGAAAAGGCGATACAAGCAGCACAAGACGATCAGACCAATTTTCTTCTCGAATGCAAAACCTTTCGTGAGAAGATACGGACCCTGATCCTTCGGGGGGAATTGTACGATTTCAAATCTCGGCTCGCTCCCATAGGAGCGCATATCATCCTTGGTGGCAACCATACAGTCTTCTCGGGAAGCCAGCGAGAGGACGACACCAAGAACGGAACTGGCAATGACAGCAGCGAGAACTTCCAACTCCTCTGCGATTTACTGCTCCAAGAGGCGAACAAAAACAACGACAACTACGAAGAAGACGAGGAACTTCAAGAATTGCTACAGCAGCTTCGAACACAAAAAGAGAAAACCAAGAAATCCCGCCAAGCATGGGAAGAAGCAACGCAGAAATTATCCAGCGCACAGCAAGCCATGGAGAAGAGAGAAAATCAGAAGAAGGATTTGCAATCGCAGTGCGAGAGACTCGAGAAGGATGTCTTTTACGTTCAATCTCAAATCGATTGTTTGGATCGGCTAACAAAAGAGGCACACGAATCGGCGGCAGACTTTCGCAATGGTACGCAAAAACAAAACAAGTCTGGTTCCTCTATACCTTCCTTCACTTGCAACGTACAGTAGCTCACAAAACACGTCGATTTTTATTCAATCTCGTGCTTGGTGTTGGAAAGACATGGAGCGACATGCTCAAAAGCAAAGTTCCTCCAGCATTACCACACCTCTAGCACCTGAGCGTACAACAGTCACAGCAGAAGCAGGTGCACAAACGACTGCTGGCAACCATTGTAGCTCGGCCAATGCCATAAGGAAAAAACAGACCGCACCGTATAATCCTTATGCAGTTGCCAATCGAAAAAGGCATACAGCATCGGCATCGGCATCGACATCTACGCCGGAGCTTACCGGCACTTCCAGGACTATCAGTCCTGTAGCTGCACTAGATACAACCGACAAGAACAATGGAAATCATCCCCATCGTGCTCCAGCAGATGGAAACGGCGATCGGTCGTCTTTCAATTTTTCTCCCAATAGTCTCCCATCGGGACAGCGCCTTCGCTCTTCGCGGCACTTCGGAAGATCGTCCTTTCGACCTCCGGGTGAATCATTGATGAGAATCGCGGCCAGTGCTAGCGGGAATGGCAATACCAGCGCCGGTCACAATAAAATCGAACACAGAAACGACAACGCTGAATTCAAGCCCGTCCCGTCCGAATCTACCAAGGTTTCGCCGTGGGAGAGACGAGGGCCGAAGCGAGGCACTTCTTCGAAGCGTCTCCGAATCGACGACAGCGACGACGACGACAGCGAAGAAAATGGTGACGACAGCTCGTGGCTGAATGCAGCGCCTGCCTTCTCTGCGGCGAAAAAGTCCAAATCGAGTGCTTCAGAGAGTCGTACCAGGGTCGAACACTAGTACGCATTATTACATCTAACGAGCTGGCATTGATATTTCCATCGCTACTGCTGCTGCTGTAGCCAAAGCCGTTATTGTTGTTGATGTCAACATCAATGTTGCTGCTGCTTCGAAACAATCGACAGCTCTTGAGACAATCGATGCTTGCTCGTTGTCAACACATGACACCCTCCTTCCAATAGTAGCGGTTCAGCTCCTCATGCCCGTTCTTGCTGTTGTCATAGCTGAGCGTAGGATTGCCATCAAGATGTTATCATTGTCGTTAGGGTCTACTAGATTTTGGCGTTACAACCCCGAAGAAATCTTATAAGTAGTCACTGTTGGAAAAACAAATTTTGTTTCTAGCAAGGCAGGTGAAAGATTTGTGAGAGTTTTCCGAGAATTTTTTTCATTTTTTACTTCCGTAACAAGCACAGAAATGAACTCAGCAAGATGTGACGACTGACTACCGTATTGTGCATACATACATACGTGCGATATGAACGTATGAGTGAGGTATAACGAGAACAGAGGAAAATGGCATCCGACATCCGAAGGTCTCGTAACACCACGAAAAACGACAACTTACAGTACGAGTACTACTCTCCTCTGTCTCCGTTCTGATTCCCAATAGCACAGCTACGGCTTCCATCAGTGAAACATCCCAAGGTTCCGAAAGGAAAGTGAAGTATTCAGGGAGCACAGGAACGATTTTAAGAGCAGAACTCAAACCATGTCCGACGGTGACAGCGTCGATGATCTCCGCCAGAAGGGCAACCATGAATTTCAAAAGGGGAACCTCGACAACGCGATCGCCTTTTACACGTCGGCCATTGGCATCGCATCGGAGACGGACACGGCTGCTTACATCGTGAACCTGTGCAACCGATCGGCCTGTCATTTCCAGATGGATGACCTCGAAAAGGCAAAGGTTGACGCGGAGCTGGCGTGGAGGGCATCCGAGGAATCGAACGTCAAATCAGCGTACCGCCTGGCAAAGACCCTGATCGGGCTGAAGGAATTCGAGAGCGCCATCAAGGTGTTGAAGAAAGCGCTCGACATTCCGGATCTCAAGGAAACAGAAAAGAAGTCCCTGCAAGAATTGGGGAGAAATGTCCTTACCAAGATGGACCAACCTTCCGGAGAAGACGAGACATCCATCCGATTTGCACAGAGGCCCCTGTCCATTAGAGAATTCAAAAAGGGAAAATCTCTGGGGGTCGGGAATTTTTCGGAAATCGTCGTCGTCGAACACAAAGTCACCAAGGAAGAGTTTGCCCTTAAGATCTTGGAGAAGAAAACTGCCGCCGATCTGGCCAAGCGACAACACCCCAATGTGTACAACGAAATTGCAATGGAGAGACGGGTGTTGTTGCAACGAGTCCCCCACCACCCGAACATCATCAATATGTACCACGCCTTTCGCGACTTTAACAATCTTTACTATTTGATGGACCTCCACAACGTCAATCCCGATCTATGGGCACAACTTCGATACAACGGCAAGATGGTAGGAGCTCCGGGGTCCCAGGTGAGGCGGTGGATGATGCAGCTCGTGGACGCCCTGGAACACCTCCATCTGCACGGCATAGTCCACCGCGACCTCAAACCCGAAAACGTTCTGCTCAACAAACGCAACCACGTGGTGGTGATTKATTTCGGAACCGCGAAAGACCTGATCGAAACAGATTTGAACGGCCCGGAATTCGTCGGAAGTACGTTGCATCGCACCTTGCGGTTTTCGGTGCTGTATTGTTCCCTTTTGTTCCTGCTGTTCCGTGCATTTTTGATCTCGGATGGATACCCAAATTGCGCAAATTGAACCGGAACAGTCGTGTTCTAACCAGTGTCCCTCTCTTTCTGTCGCATCTCTACACAACGCAATCCAATTCCAACTCCACTTGATGCACAGCCCCCGATTTCATGGCACCCGAGGCGGTGACGGGGTTCAGTGGGATGCCCAACCAGCCCGCGGCACAGGCAATGGAACACGGCGCTGCCCCGTCCACGGCCGCGACGGATCTCTGGGCACTGGGGGCCATGGCGTACATTTTGCACACGGGGTCCACTCCGTTTTGGAGCCCGAGTCCCTACCTGACGTTTCTACGAATCAAGCGGGGGCTCTTGCCTAGGAACACCTGGGGGATACCCGACGAGGATGCCTGGGACTTTATATCCAATCTGATGAGGGTCGAGCAGAACGATCGACTCGGAGCGGATTGTTTCGAGGTGGAGTCGGGCAAGGTCCACGTGAAGGGCAAGGGATACGACGTGCTGAGATCCCATCCGTATTTCGCAAAGACGGACCCGGGCGACGAATCGAGCGTTCTTCCGTCCCTGCAGGACCTTTGCGTTCGGGCCTGCGCGGAGCTCGCCAAGCAGGACGCCATGGACCTGGACGTTTGCGACCGGCACCCGCCGGGGGACGGGTCGAGCCACGACCTGGAGCGGCTGTCGGTGAGGCAGCGAAGCCTGGTCTGCCACGTCCTGGACAAGTCCAAGGCCTTTTCGCGGGGGGACGAGACCCGGATTTTCCAGCGGTTTTTCGCGTCGGAGACCGACTCCCTCCGGGCCCGGGTCCGGCCCGCGTCGCGGGACTTTGTCGGGCTGACGCAGATGAACGACGACGAATACAAGCCGCTGACGGGGAGGGGCAGCGACGATCCCTACGCCACCAAGATCGAACCCGAGCCCACGAAAATCGCCGTGCTGACGAATCCTATGCTCCTCGGTGCCGGGGGGGTTTCCCCCGAACAGGAAAAAGCCTACCTAAAGGGGTGGAAGAACTGCATAGCCGCCATCAACAAGAAACGCCCCAGGGCGGTCGTGGTCTGCGCAAAGGCGATCCCCCCCAAGTTCTGGAAATTCCTGGCGAGGATCCGGGATTCCATACACGTTCTGTGGAACGACGGGAGCGTGCACTATTCCTTTTGGCTGAACGGGTTTCAGGGCCTGGTGCTGCAGTCCTCCGGGCTGACTGAGGAATCGTCGCCGCAGATGCTCTGGCTCCGGGAACAAATGGAACAGGCCAGGATGGCCAAGCAGCAGCTCTTTTGTTTCTGCGACTGCGATCCGGGGGACCTGTCCCCCATCGTGCAGAAACGGCTGGCCCGGGGAAGGGTCCTGTGCCTCTCGGGCTTGTCGAACCAGACGGCTCCGTTCGAGCGCGAGGTTTGCTATTCCGCCAACGAAACCCTCGACGACGACACCTCCGTAAAGTCTACCGACAGCACCGAAGACGAGGACGATGGTTCCACCATGAGGGTGTACGGAACATCCGAGAACGGCCTGCGATGGATCACGGTCCACGAACGAGACGAATGGCACAGCGAGTTCGAGGCCATCGACGTTCCGAGCGCGGTCTGAGGATGGTTGTGCGGCGGGGGGCCCCGGTGTTCCTTGCACCCGCACACCGAATGGCTGGACAGAATAGTACCGTAAAAAATAAATGACAAATGATAAAATTATGGCAGAACGCCCTATAACTCTAGCTAGTTGGTTCCTCGCCACGGCAAAACCGCAGGCGCGGATTCGGCCACCGGGTTTGTAGGTGGATGGATGGATGGATGGTGGGTTTTTTGTGTGGGTTGCGTTGCGTTGCGTTGCGTTTCCCCCCCGCTCCGGCTAGAACCAGCCGGCCCGGGTGGCCTTCAGGGCCTCTCCGAGGGCCTCCTTCGAGGCGGCCTTGGCCGCCAGCCTCGCGGCCTTTTTCGCCGCCCTCGCGTTGACCGGGAGGGGCCGCAGGACCGCGCTCTTGGCCCACTGCAGGACGCCCAGAGCCACGATGAGGCCCTTGTACCGCTGGACCACCCTCGCCGCCCTCCGGGCCAGCCTGGCCAGGTACACCAGGGCCTTGGTGCCCCGGACGGTGCGTCGTATCCCCTTCGGCGTGACCCCCTTGCAAAAGCGTGCCAGGCGGTCCAGCTGCTGGTCCCCGAGGGCGTCCCCTAGGCCGGCCATCGAGGCCAGGCCCGCGAGCTGCTCCTTGCTGGTGCCCCTGAGGAAGCCGCAGATGGTTTCCTGCGTGGCCTCGTCGTCGAGCTTGCGGACGAGGCCCGAGGCGAGGGAGCCGACCATCCCGCCGCCGGCCCCGCCTCCCTGTCCGAGGGCCCCCAGGAGGCTTCCCGGGCCCCCTCCGCTTCCCCCCATCAGCAGGCTGGCGGGGTTCAGGCCGGGAAAGCCGGGACCGGGGGCGGCTTCGCCGGTCTTGGACAGGAGGGATTCCAGCAGGGCCGAGTGGGGCGATGGTTGGAGGGAGGAGGACGCGGACGCCTCCGGGAGCAGCGGGTTGCTGTGTCCGTTGACCAGCGAGGAAAAGTCGGACGAGGGGACCTCCCTCATGAGCTTTCCGTAGAGGTTGACCGCCTTTCCGTCCCCCAGAAAGGAGGCCGTCCGGGCGTCCTGCAGGGCCCCGGCGTTGTCGCCCAGGGCCATCCTCGCCTTGGCCCGCCGGTGGTAGGCCCGTGCCGTGATGGCCGGGGAGTGGCAGGGCTTGCTTCCATGGGACGCCTTGTCCCCGAGGACGTCGGTGCAGGCATCGATGCAGCCCGGGTAGTCCCCGGACTTGAGGTGGCAGAGCGCCTGGTGCAGCCGGCAGGTGGCGTAGTCTTCCGTCGCGCTGCTTCCGTCGCCCAGGGTGTCCGCCGCCTTTCGAAAGATTTCCGCGGCCCCGACAAAGTCGCCCCCGTCGTGGCACTCCTTTCCCTCGAGCCGCAGGGCGGTGGCAATCTCGGCCGGGGACCGAGACGACGACGACTCCTCCTCCTCCCCGTCTCTGGCGGGGTCCGGAACGGCTTTGCTTTCGGCTTCGGTTTCGTCGCGCTTGGATTCCGTTTCGGTTTCGGTCTCCCCACCGGCTTCTTCCAGGCTCCCGCCCCTCGGCAGGGTGTTTGGGGTGGGCAGGAGAAGCCCCCGGGACGAAACYGCCGCCACAGCGGGAAGCGGGTTCCAGGAAAGCACCACCAGGGCAGCGGCGAAGAACGCCGCAGAAGCAGCCAGCGGCCGCTTCGTCGTTCTCCGCTCGGGGGTTGCGATCGTCGCACGCATTTGTGTCTGTGTGTGTATGTCTGTGTGTCTGTGTATGTGTCTGTGCTTGCGCTCTTGCCTGCGCTTGTGCTTGTGCCTGTGCCTTTGGTGGAACCGAATTCCCGTTTCGCCGTGCAAGTCTGCTTCGATTGGATGGTGTGGTACCCTACGAGCAGGCAGGGGGCGGAATGTGAGTCTAGCGTTGCGTGTTTTGGTGGTTTTGGGTTTTTCGATCGCTTGGATGGCAGGCTTCGGTATCGGCAGGAGTGTAGATCTTAGTTCGAGGATGAGCTGTGTCGTCTGTGTCCCATGGTCGGTAAATCAATCATCGGGAACAAACGAATCTAATCGTTCTGGCTTGCTGCGTAGGATACCTACGTAGTCTACAGTATTTAGCAGGCTGTATCGTACGTACGGTACAGAAACGTACGAAGTGTTTATTTGTTTTGTGGTTTTTTTTGTGTTTGTCAACGGGGCAATCTTTGCTCCGGGAACGCAAATCAACGGATAAGAGGTTATGAGCCATATTCACCCGCACGCCAAGATGCGCGGTTTCGGTTTCGATTTCGATTCCTAACAGCGGGTGGTTTGTTTTTAGCGGGCTTCCCCGACACCCGAAAGGAAATGGATCGAATCGAATCAATCAATCATTCGAGAATGATCGAAGACGGAAGGAAAAAGCAAAAAGCACACGGGAGAATGAACTGTGCAACTAGCCACCAGTTAGTGTTTCACGATTTTCGGGAGGTAGGGTACTCGTACCATACGTACGGTATCGCAAACAAAAAAGTAGGCAAATCTGTCACAAAAGAGTTCGTCGTTCTTGCTTCCCAGAAACAGACAGCTTCCACCGGAGCAGAACAGAGAAGAACGCAAAGCAAAACAAAGCGAAACAAAACAAAGCACAAAACACAAAACAACATCACAGCACAACACATCACAGCACAACACAAGACAAGACAACACATCCCACCATGCTCTCTTCCTCGACCCGCTCCGTGGTTTCGTCGCAGCTGAAAAGGGTTGCCAGGAACCACGCGGCGGCGGCAACGAAAGCCACGGGCCACTACAACGGCAGCGGCAGATGCAGATTCCACGATGGATCGCAAGCACCCTTGTTCGGGGCGGCCCTCTTTTCCTCCGGCCCGCACCCCTCGGCGTCCGGCGAGGCCCAGCCCGCCTTTTCCAGCTACGAGTACCCGACCCGGACCGAGGCCCCGGAAATCACCACCACCCTGGCGAGCGAAACAGAAACGGGCAAAGCGAAACCGAAGGAACGCAACAAGGTGTACCACCCCACGATGGACCCCTTCGACGACGCGGGCAGCCTGTCGGAGGAGGACCGGGCCCGCTCGAGGGAGGAACACGCGGAGGCGATGGCGTCGATCGAGATGTCGAGTTTTCCCATCGGGCTTGCCGCCCCGGAATTTGTCCCGCCGAACGTCCCGTCGGGGGAACTGGAGGTCCCCGAGACGCTCGTCACCACCCTGGACAACGGGATCCGCGTCGTCTCCCAGGAGACCTATTCGCAGATGTGCACCATCGGGGTCCTCTCCAGCGTCGGGAGCCGCCACGAAGAGGTGGAGGGAACGGTGCGTTGCGTTGCGTTGCGTTCGGCGATGTGATTGGAAACACGTTCTGCCATAGCGCAATGCATTCATCGAGATGTGTGCATTKCATTGTAACCCCCTCGTTTCGTTGCGCTCACGAATCGCCATTGCATTGTTTCTGTCCGCTTGTCCGACGTTCTTGTTTTGTTTTGTTCTGTTGTTTCCTCCCCCCCCCCCTTCAGATGCACCTGCTGGAAACCATGGCCTTTGGCTCGACGGAAAAGTACCAAGGACCCGAGATCACGCAGATGCTCCAGGACTGGGGTGCCACCCGGTTCGTCAGCCACTCGAGGGAACAGAGCCTGCACTGCGTCGACATCTTGCGGCCGAACGTGGAAAAGGGAATGGAGCTCCTCTCGCAGGTCGTCCTGGAGCCCCTCATCACGGGGGCCCCCCAGGAGGTCGAGTACGCCAAGGAGGTCATGGCCTTCCAGGCTCAGGAGCAGATCCCCGAGCTGGTCCTGGGAGAAGCCCTCCAGGTGGCGGCCTACGGAGCGGACCAGCAGCTCGGGAAGGCACACTTTGCCACGGCCGAGAGCATACCGCTCCTCGAGGCAAGGGGCGTAGAGGACTTTTACGGAAAGAACATCAAGGGCAACCCGGGGGGCATCGTCGTGGCCGGGGCGGGCATCTCCCACGACGAGCTGGTGGGCATGGCGGAGGAACACTTCTCAACGATGGAACAATCCCACTCCCCGGCCACCCTCCCCAGCACCTACCGGGGGGGGCATTCCATTGTGGAAAAGCCCGCCACCGAGTCCGTCTACCAGCCGATGCTCCCGGAGGAGGACCAATGCCGGGTGGCCCTCGCCTTTCCCGTGGGGGGCTGGCACTCGGACACGATGGTCACCGCCTGCGTCCTGCAGACCCTCCTGGGCGGGGGGTCCTCCTTTTCCGCCGGCGGGCCGGGCAAGGGCATGTACAGCCGCATGTACCAGCAGGTCCTCAACCGCTACGGGTGGATGGAATCCGCCGAGGCCTTTACGACCTTTGCCGACGAGGGCGGTCTCTTTGGGGTCAGCGCGAGCACCGCCGTCCCGAGCAAGGTCCCGGAGCTCGTCGCCATCCTCGCCGACCAGCTGGCCTCGGTGGCGATCCACCCGGTCGGGGACCTGGAGCTCTCCCGGGCCCGGAACATGCTCCGCTGCAATGTCCTGGCCCAGCTCGAGTCCCGGCTCATCCTCTTTGAGGACATGGGCCGGCAGGTCCTCACCTACGGGAGGCGCGAGGACGCGGCCAAGACCTGCGCCAAGATCGAGGCGGTCACCGCCGGGGACATCCAGGCCCTGGCCGTCGACATGCTGCGGAACCACCCGCCCACGCTGGTCGCCACCGGGAGCCACGCCGATCGGGCCCCGGACTACGGGGAGGTCTCCCGGTGGTTCCGGTAGCAAGGCAATCCCCCCCC